CCTAGCACTATGTAAACGCAATATTTAAGAAGGATTTAAGCTGGGCTATGTGACTTTGTGATAATTCACTTTTACCTTAAAATAACAATTAAAAGCCATTCCACTGCTTGAAATTTGTCGATGGCAAACATACGAATGCGTGCGATTTTTCACCCATTTAGACCCAAAAATTAGACATGCATTCCAGCTATTCATTCTATAATCATGTTAAAATAGCTACAATTATTTGCTGCTTTTATGTATTTCCATATTGCAGTTCTGACTTTGTTTTTGGCCTTCTAGTCCTCCTGCATCATAGGAGCATAAATACGGGAGAGCACCTTGGCGAAAATGGAAGATGAAACGGCCCAAAATATAAGTGTTTAGAGCAAGCATTAAAATGTATTACTTTGCTTATGTGACCATCTAATGTCTAGCGGTTACTTTAAGCTTCGTCTTGCCATGGTATGCACAGGCTAGCCTGGGCTTAATTCCTTTGTTCTCCCCAGAATATATGTATTTCGCCCCACTTAATGCCTCCTGCCCGGTGAGAAGTCTCGAGATGCCACAGAGCACACAAAATTTGCCAGATGTCATTGTCTATAAGATAAATACAGAGGTGAAAACACAGCGAACTAATAGTAAGGAGCTCATAGGAAACATTCGTGCCCATCCATTGCATATTATGTAAAATGCCATGCATGACTAGATTCATGTTGGATTGCCTACATGGGTGGCAGGACCTTTGGTGACCACATTGCTTCTGATAGTCACTGCTTCACTCCTGCCTTCAACTGTTTAGCGCAAAGTCTTGCACTAAATCTTGCTTGCTAAGGCTTTTACCACTGCATGGTTTTCATTTTGCCATTTGGCAGAATTTTTTCACTTTGGAGCAAAAGTCAATAACAATTAAATTTTGAGTTGTGTACTCAACACAATGTTTTTTTGATCAACACAAATCAATTCGACATTAGTTAGCTGCTTGGCTATGAACTTTGCACTACATTACTACATAAAAATATCATTTGAATGCACCAAACTGCCAAATTAGGTTTTGCGCGCGGGCTTCAGTCTGGTCTGCTTCGTTAGTTCAGCATCTCTAGTTGATATGTCTGGAACTCCTGCCTCAGGCTCAGTAGCCTCTTTGAATCTACAAGTGGCTGCATCGACAGTAGCTCCTGCATCGAATCCAAAAAATAAGGAAATTTACAAATACGAGGCTTCTTGGAACATATACTCAATTAATTGGTCGTTGCGGCAGGATAAACGCTTTCGTCTGGCCATTGGAAGTTTTATCGAAGAATACAACAATAAAATCCAAATAATCACTCTTGACGAAGAGCAGGGTGAGTTCGTCGCCCAACCCGCTTTTAATCACTACTATCCTGCAACGAAAGTGATGTGGATGCCAGACCCCAAGGGCAATTGTCCAGACCTGCTGGCTACCAGTGGCGATTATCTCCGAATATGGAAAGTGTCAGAGAGTCCCACGAAATTAGAATGTATACTTAATAATAACCAATCCACTGGATTTTGCGCACCGCTGACCTCCTTTGATTGGAATGAGGCTGATCCCACTATTATTGGTGCTTCTAGTGTAGATACAACATGCACGATTTGGGGTTTAGAGGTATTTTGCCTTCTTTGTTTTTACTTTATTTAGACACAACAAGCTATTGGACGAACTCGAAACGTCAATGGTCATGTCAAAACACAAGTAATAGCTCATGACAAGGAGGTTTATGATATCGCTTTCAGTCGGGCAGCTGGTAATAGGGATATTTTCGCGAGTGTTGGTAAGCTTTATCTCTGCTTATCTTATTATTCTGTGATGATATTAGTTTGGCGTATTAAAAGAGCACGTCGCTGATTGTTCACATTCGTTAAAACCACCTGACATACCGATGGATCTGGTTGTTATTAGTTTGATGATACTAGGTGGATAAGCTAATTTACTCCTGGCCTACCGTTATTTGCTCAATTTTTTATTTGTAGGTGCGGATGGATCAGTGCGTCTTTTTGATCTTCGAAATCTCTTGACATCCACCATAATCTACGAAAATCGTAATCGAACTCCACTTCTACGTCTAGCATGGAATAGGCAGGATCCCAATTATATCGCCACCTTTGCCATGGACTCTAAGGAGGTATGCGCACTAATTCTTGCTTTGGATCGACGAATGAGTGTTTAGATCTACTGGGGGAAAGGCGACTAATGAAAGAAATTTGTTTATTGAGTACGGGAATGTGTAAATATGCGTAAACCTGGCTTGAACTTTTCAGTAAGGCATGTATGAGTTGGCGGACGATGGTATTGTGTTCACAGTCTTCATTGGATCGTTTGTCTCTGCAATCGATTGCACGTTTTCGCACTCAATGTCGTAATTGCTTCCCATTGCCTTGTTGGTGTCTAGGCTGTGTTGCGCTCGATTTTTTCATGATATTTGTGTGACATGTTAGTAATCCTTGCTGATATTTATTACAGGATCCAACTCCATGCTCTGTTAGCCCTTAACTTCGTAGTTTTTGTATCAAATTAGACTCCTCCATATGTATGCGTTTATTGGAAAGGCAGAGAAGAGGCAGGGATGAAACCAGCGAATTGGTGAATGAATTGCCTTAATAGTCGCAAATTCTCCCCCCCCCCCCTAGGTAACTATATTGGATCTTCGTGTACTTTCTACACCGATGGCTACTCTAGATAACCACCGAGGTTATCTAAACGGTCTGGCCTGGGCGCCGCACTCCAGCTGTCACATCTGCACTGCGGGGGAGGACTGCTTGGCGCTGATTTGGGATATTCAGTCCATGCCGAGGGCAATCGAGGACCCAATCTTGGCCTACACCGCGGCTGCAGAAATAAATCAAATCCAATGGAGCGCTCTTCAACCCGACTGGATTGCAATCTGTTATCAAAACTGCTTAGAGATCCTACGTATTTAGCGAGGTCAATCTACCTGCAATGGCTGCCCCCGCCGAACGTTAAGTTGTTCTCAGTCGGCAGTCATGTGACCACTAATTATTCTTTCTGCCATCTTTGGCCATTTGGAGGTGCTTGTACATAGAAGATTCTACGTTATGTTTTCATTTTAATCTGAGAGTACTGCTTACGTCTTCCGTGTTTTGCGCTGCTGGGGGTGTTCGTTGACCCGCAGTGAGCTTATGGTGGAGATGCCCCTGTGACACCAAGGGGTTAGAATTACTCCATAGACAGTAGTCGTACAAGGACAGTCAGGGGATTCGCGTTAAAAACCGTCTCTAAAATCTCTTGGGGAATAAGTAGCTTGACAAAGTGAAGATCGTGTTATCTGAAATATGTGCCACGAGCGAATAATGCATTTATTTGATAGTTTTTGAGCACACACATCATTTTCAATGCTTGTTGTGTATTTACTTCCATTTTCAAAATGACAAAGTAGATGAGTTTAGATTGACTTAACACTGACCTTGAAGTCTGGAGGGTGTCTGCACTAATCGTACGGAATACAACTTGCTCTAATGCTTCGATATTACAAGAATCCATTTCTTGAAGGGTCACAAAGTCTTCCATCAGAGGATGACGTAGATCCAATCTATAAAGATTTTACGATTTAAGGTTAGCAAGACTGTAAGGGATAAGTGTACCAGGGCCATCGGTGATCTTTGCAGGTACATGAACAGCGAGATCGCTTCCATTAGTTGGCGTGACCTCTCAATTTACACTGGAGTATCAGGTTAGTATTGCTTAAGTGTCTGCAATGTTAGCTAACTATGATCTTGCCTATGCTTATGAATAACTCAGCATTTACTCGTGCCTATCATTGAGTATGTTGCTTTCACTTTGGAGCTGCAGGTGATTATAGGCTCTTTGCATTTGTTGTAGGTATCCTTTTTGTGGGCCTGAAGTTGCAGAGGGATCCTGAGCTGATGAAAGATTTAGAGGTCTATCGATTTGTTCAAGTAGTGAATGAATTCATTGATGAGGCCTATAAAAGGCGCAGCAAGTCGAGATTGAGTGAAAGAATAAGTGTTTTTACGAGTGACTACACAGCGCCTTGTTTGGTTGTAGCGTTGTCCAAGAAATCCAACGCTTCGGAAGCCTTCATTGATTTCAGCAAGTGCGCAAAGTATGCAAAATATGAAATGCCTGATGAGGCACTCTATGGTCGTGTGGGGTATCTAGCTGGACTTCTAGCTCTCTTAGATGAAGGCCATCAGATTGATGAAGATGATGTATGCAGGGTGAGCGTAATGGGTCAGCTAAATTCCTCCATTTCCGAACAAACGTTCCTCATCTTCTTGTTCAAGTCACATTATCTTTTTTAGATTGTGGAAAAAGTGCTGGAAGGGGGTCGTTCCCTTTCTAAGCAGGTGGCCGCACGTCCAGGTGTATACCATGACTTGGTGAAGGGTATGCGTAAACCTCCCGACTGTCCCCCTCTCATGTTTATGTGGCATGAGAAATTCTACCTCGGGGCTGCTCACGGCTTTGCTGGGATTCTACACATTCTCTTAAGGGTACAGTAAGCTTATAAAACGTTTGGTTTTTGTAGTAATTGTGATCTGGTTATTTTTCC